GAGATACTTCAGGTACATCAATTAATACTATGGCAGTTTTCACATAAATCTTGCAGATATCCTATCCCAGGAAATCCACTGGCTACAAAAAATTCCATACAGTACTGCTGGCAATGAAAATGAAGTAAATGGGAGTTCAAGCATTTCTGCTTATAAACAGCCTTTTTCTTTTTTTAAGTTTGTTTCAGTGTGTGCCAATACAGAAACATACATTATCAATGCACTTGCCTTCATTCCAATGATAACAACAAAATTATTTCTATATGTATTTTAAAATAAAATTTTAAAGTAGAAAATTTATATCAAAAGTATCAGTATTTCCATATGCGAGAAGTCATGAGTGGTCCCAAAGCAGGCAGCACAGACACATGGGCAAATAAACACATTAAAGAATATTATACATTATAGTTTCAAAAGTGTGCCTTGAAATGTTTGCAAAATCAAAGCTTGCTTTGTGAAAACAACTATATTTTTGACGTATTAAAAAAAAATGGGAGATGTTGGTGACTGTCTTCACCCAACTCTACCCACACCTCTTCCAGAAATTCATAAAGAGCAACAAAGAAATAAAAGTACCCACAACCTATCTTTCCAGTGTAAATGAGAGATAAAGAAACTATAAGCTGAATTTTTTTCTAAGTGAGGTAATAAGTATCCAGGAACAACACAATCTAGGCTGAATCCACACTCATACAGAGGGAATCCTATGGAAACTGAATGGATAAGTAAGAAGTGGAGGTGACCCAGTGGTGAAAGAACCCACGTATTATCAACAAGGCCTCCCTCCAGAAAGAGAGCACCATCCTGAATGGGACGATAGTACTGAGACCAAGCATATAAATTGAATTAATAAATCCAATTGGCCACATGAGAGAAAAATATTTAAGCTGGAATAAAAAAATAAAACCCAAATCTATGCTGTATACAAGCACATGCTTAAAATAAAGTGATTCAGAAAGGTTAAATTTTTTTTAATGGCCAAGTAGGGAAATACAAACAAAAAAGAACTATATTAGACAAGGTAGAATTTAGTTTCAAAAGCATTAAAGAGACAAAGAAGGGAACTTAGAATTTTCAAGGCTAAAATTCACAGTAAAGATAACACAGTTAAGAATATCTATGAAACAGCATAGAGAAACATTCTTAAAGCAGAAACCAAAGGATACGCAAAAAGAAATGGGCTGATTAGTAACAGACAAATTTAAACTAGCTTGACTCCCTCAGTCCAAGGTCGATCAAGTAGACATAGAACGCCTAAAACAAATGATCACTAAGGTAGATCTTAAAGATAAAAATATAAACTCTATATTCCAACAACAAAAAATGGCCTCCTTTTCAAGTACACATGAAACATTCCTGAAAATTGACCACATATTAGAAAACCACAATAAATTCCAAAAAGCAGAAATGGTACAAAAATCATTCTTTGACTTTAATGCAATAAAACTAGAAAGAATAACAAAACAAAACAAAAATGGCCTTTTCATATAGAAATTTAAAATCTTAGGTAAAAGATAAAATACATATAAAATGGTAAAACTGATGAAAATACCTATAACAGACGTTATGGACTTAAGCAGTGCTTAGAGGAAAATTTATAGACAAGTATTTATGTCAGTAAGAGTGCAAAAGGATACAAAAATAATTGAATTAAATATTTAGTTCAAAAATAGAAAAGAACAACATAATAAACAGAAGAAAGGCAAAAGAAACTGGTAGCAATGCGTACTAGTGTTAGAGGTGGAAAATGGTCCAAGCCATATAAAGTGTGTCTGGCACTATCTTCCTAAATGACAGAGGTCTTTTGCACCAGCAGGACATATTGCAGGAAATTAACCTAAAGATATATCTGATAAAGTATGAAATGACATAGATATCAGGTCAGTCATTATGGCAATGTGGAAGATTGGAAATCATCCAATGTCCATCAACCTGGGACCAGTGGAATAAACTCTGGTCCATACACACAATTGAATACTATGAAGTCATGGAAAAAGAATGCTATGCACTTCATAATATGTTGTTAAGTGAAAAAAAGCAACATAAAGAACAGCGCATAACATATTCTATATTTTGTGAAGGGATTAGCATATATACATATATGTCTTAGATATATGTGTATATATGTGTGTATATTTATATTTGTATAAATACACATATTACATTATACATATATACATAAAACACCTATCTACAAAAGTAGATGGGAAAACACATTGAAAAGGACAGAGATGAAAGTACAATCTCTTTAGGGATGTGTTTTTTAATGTAATTTGACTTTGGAAACATATATCTGTTTCACATACCAAAAATAAAATTGAATCAAACGGGAAAAGTGAACTGATTTTATTTCAAATTCACAACATAATCACAAAGATAAAATGCTTCAGATGATCACATCACTTTGTGGGACAAAGTACAAGGACCAAAAGAAATTTTAAAATCAATTTAGTAGTTTTCTTCTTAGTAGTAATATTGGCATTGTTGTTTTGAAGCTATCTCATGGATATAAGAGATAGCAAATAGTTATGTTAATGTTGTTATCAACCAAGAAGTACAGTGGACGAGGAAGGGCATACAACCATAAAGTTAAAAAAGTAACTTTAAAAGTAAATTCACAGGGCAGGACAATTTGTGTATCAAAAAGTATAATAAGGCACTGACTGAAGTATTCTATATTATAAAAATCTATGAGTTCATTACAATACTAAGAAAGAGAGAAGAGGGGAAAGAGAAAGAGAGAAAGAGAAAACAAGTGCAAAACCAAAGCAAAAGAAATAAAACAAAAAATAAATCCATTTGGTACCACTGAAAGTAATGAGGGCCACTAAGAGCTTACTGTAAAAATTTGTCAGTAGAAAGGTAGGCACTTATCCTTGTCTTTTCTCTAAAACTATTTCAAAATAACCAAATTGTTCTTATTAAATAAATGATTCCAGCTTAAAAAATGTGGAAGGAATGATCAGAAAACTCACCCTTTGGACACACCCCCCCCCCATTGTGATCAATGATTCAGGTCACATCAATCAATGGATGAAAGCATCAGATGAAAGGTTGCTGGAGAACTTTATAATGGAGGGTTTAGTCTATCACTAGCTGTACTCAATACTCAATTGTAGCATCATTAAAAGTAAACAAGCCCTGTATGACTCCTGATGTAAGGCAATATGAAGCTCAGAGCACCACCTATGAAAAATTCCTGCCAAAATGACTGAATTTGAATCTAATCAAGCCTGTTGAGCTAACTTCCATTTATAGGAAATGCAGGGCTTAATGAAACAATTTTAATCACACTAAAAGAAAGTAAATTGACAAACTCAGAATGCAGGACATTGTACAGGACAATTAACACAGGTTCTGCAACAAATTAATGGCAAGGAAGACTGTTACAGATTAAAGAGACTTGAAAGACTTAAGTAAATGTAATACGTGGTCATTGTGTTATGATTCAAATAAACCCAGATAATTTTAAGAAAATAAGAAAAATTAAATTGTGCATTATCAATTGTACAAGGAATCAATATTAATTCTATTAGGTGTCACAATGCATTGTGGTCAAGCAAGAAAGAACCATATTATTAAAAACCATTTCCTGAGGTATGAAAGGATAAAATTATATAATTTCAGGATTTGCTTTAAAAAAGAAAATCAAAACCAGAAAAAAGTAATGATGAAAGAAATGCTGAATATGGTTATATGGAATCTCCACATACTTATTTTGTGTTAGAAGTTTTCAACAATAAAATAAATGAAAGAAAAAGCAACACATAAGCTAACAAACAAAAGCAGGCCTAAGTAGAACCAGGCCTAAACACAGAAAGTAGGCTTACTTCTACTCCTTTATCCACTCCCATCCTGCTCCCTAGTATTTCAGTCCAGACCACATTTCCTAATGACTATCGAACAGAGGAGGTGGAAAGGATGGTACCTTTTGGGGGTCCAAAAATTTAAAACATTAGTATTGTACCAGAGTAAAGTTTTTATCTAGTTCCTGATTTTTTGGCAATCCTTGATTATTCATTAACTATTATTTAAGCCTCTATCAACTCACTTGAGAATCTTACAAGTTAAAAAAGAAAAAATAACAGAGAATTTTAAGCTTGGTGGTGAAAAATATGAGATTTTTATTTTAGAATTGTCACACTGGAAATAGTATAGAAGTAATTTGAAGTCGAATTTCAGTGGACAGAAGAGGGAAGTTGGGTAGTAAGAAGTGAGAGCAAGAACAGAACACTCCTTCACAAAACTTGACAGCAAAAGGTAAGAGAGAGGAAGCAATGGTAGGAGTGAACGGCAATAGCAAGAATCTGATGTCAGACAGGGGATAAATGATGGAGTGAGGTACCAAAGAAGACTGACAGGCATACTTACAGAAAATAGAAAGACTGACCTTAACCAAGAAAAGACACTTTCATCACTAAATTATATGAATTAAAAAGTACGGGGGTGGAAACAAATATAGATATATAGGTATACAGATATACAGATGGAGGGATGGAGGTAAGGGAGATTCAAACTGATGAATTCTTTCTTTTACGTGGTATTAGTAGCCTTATCTAAAGAAGGTAAGGTTAGTACAACTGACGTATGCAGGCAAGGAGAGTATTGATGAAAAGGTTTACTGGGGAACAGTTCTGACAGATGCTGAGAAGTGCAAAAAGCATAGGCTGTATAAAAATATGATGGCACCAAACTGTGGTATTATATTCCCCAGTAGAGCCCAGATCACTACTGGTTTAAGAAAAGGAACAGGAAGATGAATATATTAATTTAAGGAGCTAGTAACAACTACCCATTTGCCAGTGGTGGGAGCATATTCCTTTTATATACATTAAAAATAATTTTATTTCCTTCATACATCTGGATAAATGATTAAATAAGTATGGAATGAGTAAAATAAGCAAATTAGTGATGGTGGCCTACTCTTAAAAACAGATAAATGAAACAAAATATAATCATGAGAAATAAATGTCTATATACTCAAATTCCATTGTTCTCACCAATTCGAGTGATTTTATTATGTGAAAGTTCAAGATTTTGGATATTAGTGCAGCCATCCAAACCATGAAAAGAAGTCAGTTGATTTTTACTAAGAAGAACAACACAGAGATCTGCCAGATTTTCACAGCTGATGGTCTCAATATGGTTTTCCTAAAACAAAGAAAAAATTTAATTTGTTTTATTTCAATGGTTTATTAATGAAATAGTTAAAGCTTTCAAAAAGAGGAAGGATGAGATATGATCTCCAAATGAATATCTGAATCTCTAACTTTGCAGATAATTACGCAGAATGTTATACTGTCTAGAAGAAAATATTAAGTAACCTAATAAATAATTAACTGATTTTGTATTTATTAATAATCTTTTAAAAGATAGAAAATACAAAGGATCATATAACAAAATATTTTAAACAATCTAAATGAACATAAGTGAATATTTGGACATAGTTCCTATAAAACTGTTATTTTAAAGAAACCAAGCACTGAAAAAATTGAAATCTCTCCATTTCTCTTCTTTAGGCCCTTTTGCTCCCTTCCCCTCTCAAGAAGACCAATATCATGAATTAGGCATATATCTCATATATACATACACATCTCTGCAATACATAATATTGGTCTCAGTGTCAAGATCACATGTCAGGATGCAACAGCAATTCTCTTTTTTAAGACCTTTAAGCCTTTTAAAGATAAATGTGCTTTTAAGAATCTGAATGGTGTAGTCCCCCAGTATCCCTCTCAAAAATATTTATGAGTATAGCCATTGTCTAATGTATGGAGCTTAATAAGCAGCTGAGGAAACCCAAAAAGTTTTAAAAGAAATCATTGGTGGAAGCATTGCCAATTTTAACTGAATATAATTCAAAATGAAAAGAAGCCTCTAGTCCTCCCCAATCTTCTATGAGAAAGAAACGGGCTGAGAAAAATTCTCAGATGCAAAACAGGGCACTTATGGAAAAGGACGTATGCCTTGAGGATGGAGTCAAAAGCCCAGTGGGCAGAACCAAGAGTCATAAAGAACCATTCCAATGGAGGAGAACTGAGTCCTTATTAAGGAATTGAGGATATGCATTTGGCAGTGGACCAGGGACGGCTACAGCTTCTTGTTTTCTCCCACTTTGAATGGGAATGACTACTGGAATTAATCAAGCCCTGTCTCACCACCGTATGCAAGTGTGTGAATGGGCAGGGGAGGAACAAGTTTTTCATTTTACTTCACAGATCTCTGAGTTGAAAGAACTCTGAGCAGCTCATTTCCACTGGATCTGATCAAATGAGAAGATTCTGTGCTTCAAGTCTGAGTCTGATGCCATAAGTTGACGAAACTTCGGAGTCGTTGAGACATGAGTGTATTTTGCTTGTGGGAAGGATGTGACTCATTAGGAGCCAGAGAATAGATTGTGGGAGACGATCACTTTGATAGCCCCAGTAAATCTCACAACCCAATATTCACACAAGCACATAGTCCCCTCCCACATGAACTCAGGGCTTGGCCAACAGAACATTAGTTAGCATGATGTCAGCAGATGCTTGATCAGCACTTGCATTTTGGAGCTTGTCTTTTTGGAATGCATCACTCTTGGAAGTCGGGACCCTATAGAGAAGCCCAAGAGAGCAGAGAGACAGAGAGAGAGAAAGAGAGAGAGAGATTGAATTCCAACCTTGCAAGGCATCAGACATATAAGAGAAGGCATTTTGGATATTCCAGCCACAGCTGAAAATTACATAAGAGACCCAATCAACACAATATGAAGCAGAAGAAATACCCAGGGAAGCCTGGCCTCAATTCATGGCCCACAGAACAATGAGCAAATAAAATGGTTGTTGTTTTAATTTACTAAGTAATGTGGTCATTTGCTAGGCAGCAAAAAGTAACAAAAAACAGTAACTACATCATCTGCAAATAGAGTTAAGTAATTTCCAGATCATACTACCTTATGATCTTCCCTCTTGTTTCTCACAAATTCTGGCCCTTGATCTCTTTAGACCTTGAGTTACAGGGTATTTTAGTAAAGGTTTCTTCAAAATTGTCATTTCTGAAATGTATACATGATTCCATTTTATATTTTAAGATAAATAATGAGAACAGAGGACACACCTGTGCATCAATGTACTTCAGTTTTTTGCAGTTACTCAGATTGTGCAAAGAAGTTAATCCACAGCGTTGAAGAGACAGAAACTGAAGATTTGCACACTCTGCCAGTGTGGAGAGACTGCAACCTGGCAAATCTTGAAATGTAACTGTTGTAACCTAGAGAATTCAAGAAAATTGGAATGCATAACATTATCTAATGATAATAGTATAAACTATACTAGTCTTGCAAAATTGTTTAAAAGAATTCATCTAAAAAAAGTAACGTTATTGGGTCAGCGACATGGCAGAGTGAAGTCACCCAGGACTCTCTCCCCTCCAAATTACAACCAAAAAGAGCAACTGCTTTCCAACCAAAAAAAAAAAAAAAAAAAAAATCCTACTAACAGAAATTGCCAGAGACCCACAGCAGCCAAACAACAGAGGGCGGAGAGGCTGGAGCCCCCTCAGAGGAGCTGGAATGAGGTAACAGAGATCTTCGCTCTCTCCCCTAGAGACTGGGATCGCTGCCATGGGTGAGGGAAGGAGCAGGGGAGAGGCTGCACATCCACAGGATCATCCAGGACTCCCACAGACCCGTGCAGTGGAAACCCTCTAACAGGGAAAGCTTTCACATGGGGGGACTCCATCAAGCCAGAGCCCCAGGAAACCAGAGAGGAGGAGCTGATCGGAATCCAGGTCTGTGCGTGAGACAAACTGCCCCTCCTCCCCCAACCCGCCCTTTGCATGGACATCGTGGCTGAAGGCAGAGGGTTCAGAACGCGCTGCTCTCGACCCCCATCTAGTGGTGACAGGTTGTAATTGCAACCAAATAAGAGCATTATGTGCAAAAACCGCTCCTCTACCATCCAGGAATTTATAAAAGCTCCAGTCTAAAAGGAAAACAATAAAAATAGACAATTATGTCCTCAGGACTTGGAAATAGGTAAACTAAGTGAAAATGAGTTCAGAATAGCTATCATCAAAAAACTCAATGAGGTAAAGGGAAATATAGAGAAACAAGTCAACAAGTTCTGGAGTTACTTCACAAGAGATTGAAACTATAAAGAAGAATCAATCAGAAATACTAGAGATTAAAAATACAATGGATCAGATAAAACAGAATACGGATTCCCTGAATGCCCATGTAGACACCATAGAGGAGCAAATTGGCATAATCGAAGATAGACAGGCTGAACGGCTCCAGGCAGAGGAAGAAAGAGAACTAAGAATTTAAAAAACTGAAGAAAATCTCAGACAAATAGCTGACTCAATGAGAAAATGCAACTCAAGAATAACTGGAATTCCTGAGGGCATGGAAAAGGAAAATGGAGCAGAAAGTGTGCTCAATGAAATAATAGAAGAGAACTTCCCAAATCTAGGGATTAAGACAGAAATGTGTGTGGAGGAAGCTTTCAGATCTCCTAGATTTGTCACGGTAAAAAGACCTACTGCAAGGCATATAGTAGTAAAAACGGCAAAAATGAATGACAAAGAAAGAATACTCAGGGCAGCAAGGCAGAAGAAAATAACATACAAAGGAACCCATATCAGATTTTCAGCAGATTTCTCTACAGAAACCGTACAAGCTAGGAGAGATTGAAATGACATATTCAAAACTTTAAAGGATAAAAATCTTCAGCCAAGAATACTCTATCCAGCAAAAATATCCTTCAGATATGAGGGAGAAATTAAATATTCTCCAGACAAACCAAAGCTAAGGGACTTCGTAGCCACAAGAACCTCCACTACAAGAAATCCTCAAGAAGGCTCTCATACCTGAAAAAAGAAATAAAGGGGGAAAGGGGTCACAAAACACAGAGTAGGGAGACAAATAGATAGAATCAGAATAGGATAGCAAATATTTAACTATAGCATTAGGATAAAGGGAAGGAAGTCACCAAAGCAAAGACAATCTTATCACTCTAACCACAAACTCACAACACAAGTTGGAATAAGAGATGAAAATAATAATTTAGGAAGGGAGGAGGAAAGGGACTGGATCAGTCTAGGCTAAGGAAGTAAGAGATCACCAGAAAATGGACTATGCTATACACAATATTCTGAATACAAACTTCAGGGTAGCCACTAAACTAAAAAACAGAACAGAGACACAAAACACAAATAAGGAAAAATCTAAGAAACTCAGCATAAGAAATTGCAGAAGTCAATGGGTAGGCTAAAACACACAGGGCGAGAAAAAAAGGAAACACAGGAAAACTGGAAAATGAGTGACAGAATGACAGCATTAAGCCCTCATGCATCAATACTCACCCTCAATGTAAACAGATTGAACTCTCCAATAAAAAGACACAGAGTGGCAAGATGGATTAAAGATTAAGATGCAACAATTTGTTGCCTCCAGGAAACATACCTCAGCTCCAAGGACAAACACAGGCTCAGAGTGAAGGGGTGGAAGACAATACTCCAAGCTAATGGCAAACAAAAGAAAGCAGGTGTTGCAATACTTATATCAGACAAAAGAGACTTTAAGATAAGGCAGGTAAAGAGAGACATAGAGGGCCAATATATAATGACCAAAGGGACACTTCATCAAGAAGAATATATAAATATCTATGTACCCAACACAGGAGAACCAAAGTTCATAAAGCAACTATTAAACCTAAAAGAAGAGATCAAAAATAACACAATAATAGTAGGGGACCTCAACACCCCACTCACATCAATGGACAGATCATCCAGACAGAAAAGCAACAAAGAAACAGTGGAGCTAAATGAAAAACTAAACAGTTGGACTTAACAGACATATATAGAACACTCTATCCAAAAAGAGCCGAATACACATTCTTCTCAAGTGTGCATGGAACATTCTCAAGGATAGACCATATGTTGGGAAACAAGGCAAGCCTCTATAAATTAAAAAAAAATTGAAATAACAACAAGCATCTTCTCTGATCATAATGCTATAAAGCTAGAAATTAATTACAAGAAAAAAGCTGAGAAAGGCACAGGATGTGGAGACTAAACAATATGCTATTGAACAAGCAATGGATCATTGAAGAAATTAAAGAAGTAATCAAAAAATACCTGGAGACAAATGAAAAGGATCATGCCATACCAACTCATATGGGATACAGCAAAAGCTGTATTAAGAGGAAAATTCATCGCAATACAGACACATCTTAACAAACAAGAAAAATCCCAAATAAGCAATCTTAAACTACACCTAACTGAATTAGAGAAAGATGAACAAACAAAGCCCAAAGTCAGCAGAAGGAGAGAAATAATAAAAATCAGAGCAGAAATAAATGCTATTGAAACAAAAAAGGCAGTATAAAGGATCAATGAAGCAAAGAGCTGGTTCTTTGAGAAGATAAATAAAATTGACAAACCCCTAGCCAGACTTACAAAAGAAAAAAGAGAGAAAGCTCAAATAAACAAAATCAGAAATGAAAGAGGAGAAATAACAATAGACTCTGCAGAAATACAACGGCTTATAAGAGAATACTTCAAAAAACTATATGCCAATAAAATGGATAACCTAGAGGATAAATTCTTGGACTCCTACAATCTCCCAAAGCTTACTCAAGAAGAAGCAGACAATTTGAACAGACCAATCACAAGGAAAGAGATTGAAACAGCAATCAAAAGCATCCCAAAGAATAAAACCCCAGGACCAGATGGCTTAACTGGGGAATTCTACCAAACTTTCAGAGAGGATTTAATACCTATCCTTTTCAAGCTATTCCAAAAAATTAGGGAGGATGGAACACTTCTTAACACATTCTACGCGGCCAACATCACGCTGATACCAAAGCCTGACAAGGACAGCACGAAAAAGGAGAACTACAGGCCAATATCACTGATGAACATAGATGCAAAAGTTCGCAACAAAATTTTAGCAACCCGAATTCAGCAATTCATCAAAAGGATCATACATCATGATCAAGTGGGATTCATACCAGGGACACAGGGATGGTTCAACATCCACAAATCAATCAACGTGATACACCACATCAACAAACTGAGGAATAAAAACCACATGATCATCTCAATAGATGCAGAGAAAGCATTTGACAAGATCCAACAGCCATTTATGATAAAAAATCTGAACAAAATGGGGATAGAAGGGAACTACCTCAACAAAATAAAGGCCATATATGACAAACCCACAGCCAACATCATACTCAATGGGCAAAAACAAAGCACTATCCCCATGAAAACAGGAATGAGACAAGGATGCCCTCTATCACCACTCTTATTTAACACAGTACTGGAGGTTTTGGCCAGGGCAATTAGGCAAGAAAAAGGAATAAAAGGAATCCAAATAGGGAGGGAAGAAGTGAAACTCTTGCTCTTTGCAGACGACATGATCTTATATATAGAAAACCCCAAAGAATCCATTGGAAAACTGTTAGAAGTAATCAACAACTGCAGCAAAGTTGCAGGGTATAAAATCAATTTATATAAATCTGTAGCATTTCCATACTCTAACAACGAACTGACAGAAAAAGAATTCAAGAACACAATACCATTCACAATCACAACAAAAAGAATAAAATACCTCATGGTGAATTTAACTAAGGAAGTGAAAGACCTATACAACGAAAATTACAAGGCTTTTCTGAAAGAAATGGATGACGACATAAAGAGATGGAAAGACATTCCATGTAAATGGATTGGAAGAATAAACATAGTTAAAATGTCCATTTTACCTAAAGCAACCTACAGATTCAATGCCATCCCAATCAGAATCCCAACGACATTGTTTACAGAAATAGAAGAATCCTAAAATTCATATGGGGCAACAAAATACCCCGAACTGCTAAAGCAATCCTGAGAAAAAAGAACAAAGCTGGAGGCATCACAATCCCTGACTTCAAAACATACTGCAAAGCTATAGTAATCAAAACAGCATGGTACTGGTACAAAAACAGGTGCACAGATCAATGGAACAGAAGTGAAAGGCCAGAAATAAAACCACACATCTAGGGACAGCTAATCTTTAACAAAGGAGCTGAGGGCATACAATGGCGAAAAGAGTTTTTTCAACAAATGGTGCTGGGAAAACTGGAAAGCCACATGTAAAAGAATGAAAATTGACCATTCTTTTTCACCATTCACCAAAATAAACTCAAAATGGATCAAAGACCTAAAGCTGAGACCTGAAACCATAAGTTTTCTAGAAGAAAATGTAGACCTAAAGCTGAGACCTGAAA